AATTGATTATCACAAAAGCAACAAATTGCTATGCATATATCGTTATTAACGTATTTAGTAATAATGTGCATGACTTAAGACAATTTTCCATATATAACATAATGTTATAGCAATAAAAGAGAAATTTTCATGCGTGCTCCTAATTCAACGGTCAGGGACTATACATATGTACATATACATATATAGACGCAATGTCAGTTCTCAAGTGAAAAGTGTGAATAATAAGTTTTAAGGTAAGAGAACAGGTATTTGGTGAATGAACGATCCACAATAAAATTTGGCAACGATACAGCTGGCCAGCTGCTACAGCTGGCCACCTGCTGCATTGGAATAGCAAATCCATGTGACTGACTGTCAGTATTATTTAATGACTACTTAGCACTCTGGCATGTTCATGTCAACCTTTGACACATGATTCTTCCACGTTACATTATACTTTTATTTCTTCCGCATTCAAGTTTGTTCATCTTCTTGTTCAAGTACTAACTCTCGACTGAAGAATGTTGAGTTATTTATGACGTTACTTAATCCATCAAGGGTCTACTCAGGTGATGGAATGCTTGTGAGTATAATTTTTAATGACTCTGGCGGAAAATTAATAACTCTGTCAATCTTTGTTTATCTTATGTTGCTTTGAACATGAGAGACAAGGATAGTTGTTGTTGATTTTGTTAGGGCCTCGATTACTTTAATCATTGGCCCAAACAAGGATAGTAGATATTTAATTTTTAAAAATGTACAAAAATGCGATTTCGTTTTGCCAGGATTTTGAAGTCAAGAATCAATATTTTGTCATGATATATTTTGCAAAATATTCCTTGTAATGTGAAGTGGGGTAAGAGCAGACTGGTTTTTGTAAAATTGGTATTTAAACGTAAGTATTTTCAGTCTGCTATACTTAACGCTATCGATATCGAATGCTTTGCACAATTACTACTATTTAATTAATATTAACTAGAGCCTTAATTTTCCTTGTACATTTTGATTTTGATAGGAAATTATTTAAAATGTCAACTACTTTGCACTTTCCCCGAAAACGGGGTAAGAGCGTAACTTGAAGTTAAAAATACTTTGAAACTATATTTCATGTGCAATAGGGCAAGAGCAGAATTATTAACAAATCTGCTATAAAATGCTTTTTACTACATTATGAAGGTACTCTATACTGCAAACTTTTAGCTGTACTCTTAGCTGTAATACAAAAGGGGATATAGTGAAACAAAACAAGGAAACAAACATACTAAATGGAGAAATTTCGCTCATATTGTAATAAAAATAGCCTGTATACGCACTTGTCCCGTTTACGAACTTATCCCACTTCATCTTACAATAATCTGTGTCAGTAATGAGCTCAATGGTGTAACTTTACCCTTAAAGTTTCACGAGAAGGAAACATGCAAACTTTTATAAAAAAAATTTGTTCACGTTTCATTTTTTCGAAAAAGCGTTCTTTACTGCACCGAAGAATTACACAAAGAATATTTTGAAAAAAAAAGTCCTGACAAAATATTGCTTCTTAGCTTTCAAAACCTGGCCCAATGAAGTCACGTTTTGCACATTTTTGGAAACCGAATAACTCCTGTCCTTGTGTCTCTTAATGAATACGCTATAAGATAAACAAGGATCGCCGGAGCTTATCAATTTTTTATCGGAAGCTCCAAAAATGACAAAAAATGAAAAATTGAATTACTATAACCTTAAATTTATTTTATGAATATTAGTTTCGAAGGCCCTTTATTATATAAAACGAATGAAAAATAAAGTATAAATACCAATAAAATTACATTCCTTTAAAATTTAGCCGGTACTGGGAGTAAATGCGTGCGCGACTAAGCCGGTACTTAATGAGTGGCAGCCTCAACAACGATCGGTCAATAAAGTGTTAAGATCTAATGGAATCATAAAACAATGTTATATTATTAGATTATTATATGAGCATAAAAAGAAAGAGTTAAAATATACAGTACAATAATGATCTAGTACAAAAACTTGATTGCAAATATTTACACACACAAAATTTGATTTAATATCATTGTTTACTATCAACACTTTTTAATTAATATTTGAATGACTATATACATAATAAATAACAATGATACATTATATATAATACATAATGAATGAATAACTGTACAGTCATGCATTAAATTTCGTTATATTTATAAGAAAGTTTACCATGCAGTAGCATAGAAAAATGATTTTATTGTTAAGTTATGTTTGAGTCAGCATCCGTCACATTTGCGATTATTGCGTCATCTGCTGTTCGTAAGTCGATTTAAATTATTGGGTTAACCGAAAAGTTTTGTTGTTGTTTAAGGCGACATTCAATTACAAATCTAACGTATGTAACTAAAATTTTATTATGCTACATATTAATTGTTTTATCAATGTGTAAGGAAAATTATTATTGATCAAGATCTTCATTTAATCGTTACTGATCATCTATAACTATGCTTGTTCTGCAAAGACATGGATCGTTAATCACAGGAATATTTTCAACACAAAGTTTCGTAAACCGAAACTGACATCATACAGTGCAACCTCACTGTATTTTCTATCTGTCTTATTCAAGTTTAAACATTGTTCTTATTTTTATAAACATGATGCAATATAGTATTGTCAAAATGAATTAATAGATCTTCCATTTTAAACTATTTATAATAGATGAAAAACTTCATTTTATTTGATACTGTTTTATTAAAATGTAGGATTCAAGATCACGTATGCATTTATAGAAGATAAAGTATATGGCACATAAATTGAGTATACGTCATTTATTGGTAAAAGTGACATAACCCTTTGATCAACCTAAAATAAAAACAACGTTGGTATTTTAAAAATTAATGTTTTGTATTTGTAAAAAAAATATTTTTTATTCATTTTTTTTAATAGAAGACATAGAATCAAGATTGATGGTCTAATATTTTATTATTATTATGCAAAATGTAAAATAAATATTTACTGTTCAATTTTGATAATTCAGATTTGTTGCTCGCAAAATAAAATTAAAAATTTGAATTTCGAAATATCTTAACATTAAACATACCATCGTATAATGCACAACATAATTTGAAAGAAAAATGAAGTATGAGATATATAACAGGTATAATAAGGTATGAAATGAAAAATAAAGAAGCCATCGATGAAATGTAACTGAATACATATTAATGTTTTAGTTCAAAAGAAATCAAAGATTTCAAGAATAGCATCTTAAAATATGCTATAATAATATAAAATAATATACAATAAATGAACTATACAATACACTATTAACAAAAGTATCGAAAATATTTCTTGTCTTTTCCACTAAGGATTTTTTTATTTAACATTCATATAATGTTACAATCTTGTGATATTACACAATGTTTTTTAAAATAAATATACATATAATACAGAAATATTTTATTGTTACTCTTACTTCTTTACTATTGTTATTATTATTTTCTTATTACGGTTACTGTTATTTCCTTATTATTTCCGTTATTGTATTCTTATTATCATCAATTTTGAAAGTTCAAAAATGTATTACCTCCGTAAAATTGTCATACACCGAATTAACAGTTTTTACAACAAAACGAAGAAAATTAACTCATTTTCAAATAATTTCTCTTATAACTCATTTTCCAATGTTTCCTTAACTCTTCTATCACAACATTCGATGGCTACAAGGTCACATTCTATAAATAAATAAATTACGAATTCTTTACTTTGATGTCTTATTCTCATTTATTCAAATAGTCAGATAAAATTCGCAACGAATTCAATTTTAATTTCATTCCTTTTGAAAATAACGATTTTTCAACGATGCAGTCATCTTAAACAGCTAAAACGTTAATAAGTCAGACGAGAGAAACAAAGAAAAAGTACAAGAATGAGAAAGTAAGGAAGAGAAGTTTACACTAGAGAGTTAAGTATGTTAGGGCCGCCTGTCGAATTTATAGCGTGGTTCTGGTTTATATCATTTATTTGAAGCGCACCTCAGATGAGAATTGTATCTTTACTTCTGAAACGACATCGCTGCATAGAACCTCAAAGAAGGGACAGTTCATTTCTCTCTAAAGATTTTAAGAACCCGTGTCCCTACTATCTATTTCCAGCAAAAGGAATACACATAATTGGACATCTGTTTAATGTCGCGTTCTCGGAACAGATTCTGGGAAGGCTATGATTAAATACAAGTTGTCCTTGTGATGCAGTCGAATATCTACTTACTGGTTCCGTAACTGTTGAGATTCTTCGTGTGCTCATTACCTAATCGTTCAAACGTTTCGAGTAATTTGTATAAATTAAATTGTATCTATGTTTATACTGTTGCCTTTAATGTTGAACTCTGTAACTTCATAAGACGGCAGAAGATAAAATTTTTATTGAGCAACTGTCAACAAGTTGTAAGTTCTGTCTTATATGTGAGTTAACTCATTATTTTTAATTTTCTGATATTGGAAGGGACAATATTAGTTCTTGACAATGTGTTAAATTTATAAAGTTAGTTTCCTGACATTGTACTCTTAGCATTTTTTAGAGTACAGTACTTTTCCTGTACTGAGCATTCTAAACAACAGTGATTCTATATAAAGAAAATTTACTACGTAAAAAGAATCTTCTATATGACTCTATAGTACTATATATTGTCTCTATGTCAAAATATTCTTCGTATGTTGAACACTAGATGCAGCATTTAACCTCTTGCCATACTTCCAACTAGTCTGACGCACACATAATTGTATACTAAATACCACAAGATTTTTTTAACATTTTTAATATTTAATTTGAAGTTGAAGACCGAGTTAGAATAATCAAGGGTTACTGAATACAAAACTACCATAAAATTTCTGCTTTCTATATTCATTTCCATTTTGTACTGGTAGACAATTACTCCTGATTTACAAATAAATTGTCTCACAAGTTAGAATTCAAAAAGATGAGTTATGTGATAAATAAAAGATTGCGGGATCGTTCCATGACAATACGAATCACAAGAAAGATTTAAATGTGTGCAGGTCAGATGTTTCTGATGAACCGCTTCTTCGACGGTGCCTTTTTGACGTTTGGTATCGACGTGCTCAGGTTTCTGGAATCGGATCAGGAGGACCGGGTCGATCCGATGATTTATGTGTTCCCGCGAATGACCAAGTGCACCTTCTACAAATATGGCGTCAGTGGTGAAGTGGAGAGACACGACGCTGTTTGCATACTGCCCTTAAACGTCGTCAATGAGAAGATATACGTTTTTCTTTGGTTTTGGTTCCTCTTTCTCGGCGTGCTCAGCTTCATAACGGTTTTATACAGGGTGAGTGATATTTTTTTATCTTTAGAGGAAGGATATTTTTTTATCTTTTCGTGGAAGTCGATATTTTTTAGAGGTATAATTCATGTGCATAACTAACAAGTAAGGTGAGTAAGGTGAAATGGATAAGTTCGTAATATGAGCGAAATTTCTCCATTTAGTATGTTTGTTTCCTTGTTTTGCTTCACAGCCTTTTATATTTCAGCTAAGAGTACTTGTTTGCAGTATAGAGTACTTGCATAATGCGGTAAAAAGCATTTTATAGCAGATTTGTTAATAATTCTGCTTTTGCCTTATTGCACATGAAATAAAGTTTCAAAGTATTTTTAACTTAAAGTTACGCACTTACCCCATTTTCGGGGAAAGTGCAGAGTAGTTGACGTTTTAAACAATTTCCTATCAAAATCAAAATGCACAAGGAAAATAAGGGTCCTAGTTAACATTAATTAAATAGTAGTAATTATGCAAAGCGTTCGATATCGACAGCGTTAAGTATTTACATAGCAGACTGAAAATACTTACGTTTAAGTACCAACTTTACAAAAACCAGTCTGCACCCCACTTCATCTTATTGGAGTTGCCTGCTGTTTTCTAAAAGGGTCAAGCCGACCCAGATCATGGTCGTTACTTACCAATATTGTGTGCTGTAACTACCAATATACAGGGTGTTATCCATAACGCTACTCTCGATTTTTCTTCTACTTGCAGCCACCTTACGAAAAAAAAGTTAAGAACAATATTTGCAGGGTATGAAATGCACAATAGATATTAGTAAAGCGAATTTGAAAAACAGTTTGTTTCTTTTGGCAAAGTCAAAGTCACCTTGGGTTTTTTAAATAGGAACATATACATTTTTTTTATTTATAACATTAGAGGACATTGAGACGAATTCAAAACACATATTATACGATATATTTATAATATAAATGCCTGAATTCCTAAATTCACAATTTTCCAAATTCTCTAATTCTAAAATTTCCAAATCTTCATATTTTTAATTTCTCAAATTCCAAATTCCTAAATTTCGAAGTCGTCAACTTTTCAAATCTTCAAATTCCCACATTCCCATTATCCAAATTTCCAAATTCCAAAATTCTAAAATTCCAAAATTCCAAAATTCCCGAATTTCCAAATTTCCAAGTTCCACAATTGACAAGTTCCCAAATTCCCAAATTCCCAAATTCCCCAATTTTTTAGTTCGCAATGCTAAAATATATCGATTTTTAAATACCTAAATTCCCACATTTATTTGTCTCGAAATTTTTAGATATCCTTACATCCTCAAATACCTACATACCGATATTCCTACGTCTCGAAATCCCTATATCCCGACACCTGTCTATCACGACTCTTCTGCATAGATCTCGATATTCTTAATATACCTAGTTTTTCAATATTTCCAAAAATTTACGTCTCCTAGCACGAGTTTAATTCATTTCTGTAAAAAAAACATTGGCTTAATAGCACAGGTCTACTATAAATTTTCAAACTTGTTTTTTTCAAAAGCTAAAAATTAAAAAACTCTGTTGTACATACTTTTCTTATTTTCTCTTGAAGAATTTCTTGATGTCCACTTTCACATGTTATTTGGTTAGACGCTGTATAATCAAATGTCGATACTATTGAGAAATACTGAAACTAATTGCGCCCTAAATATTACAGATTACAGATTACAGATTAGAATGAAGAAATGCAGTATAGAAATACAATAGGAATTGTTTTGTTTTATTAATACTATTTTCCTTTTGCAGATCGTAATTATATTTTCGCCGCGAACGAGGGTATATCTTCTAAGGCTACGGTTTCGTTTGGTCAGGAGAGAAGCCATCGAAACAATTGTTCGAAGAAGTAAAGTGGGCGACTGGTTTCTTCTTTACATGCTCGGTGAGAATTTGGACACGGTGATATACAAGGACGTGATGCACGAGCTAGCGAACAAACTCGCGTCGAGACACCATCATAGTGTGCCTGGAATTAAGGGAGAGCTTCAAGAAGCCTGATGGAAGTGAGTAATATTCCTCATTGTTATAAACACTTTTGAACCAGAGGAACCTGTTTTAATTCTCTCCGTATACATTCATGTAAGTTATACATCCGGTTAAACTTTGTTTTGGGGCATTTTTCTGAACTATTTTGCAGATATTGCTTTAAATATTATGCATAAATAATTAAATATATTATTTGATAAATATAGATGAAATACAGAAATTTATTGGACTCGAAGTAATTAATCGCAATCTATTAGGAAATTTGTAGTCTGGTTCTCAAATCGATGTATAGATACATATGTATATTTAAATACAGAAAAAAACGAATAGTATTGCTTGGGATAAATATTTATCCGGACACTTGTAGACAGCTGCTCAATTATTACACAGTCTTGTATACAGTCTTTTTACTGACAATTTTACTTCTTCTTTGAGAATCATCTTGAATTTTCACACAATTTTAAATATTGACAAAACGAAATTTGGTAAAAGAAAATACAATCGAGTCAGAAAAGTAGATGATCAGTAGGTGTTGGGGATGGCCAGCTCTAACAAAAGCAAGTATTGTTTCTGTTATACATTAATCGTGTTAAATTGCGACTAACTAAGCTGCGACTACACCTATTTCATGTACAATTTTTTTAATAAGAAACATATTTTGCTACCTAGTTTTCTTTTTGTCTTCTATTAAAAGAAAGAAATACATGTTCTCAATGCCATATGACCTCTGAACTTTAATGCAATACATATTTCTATTTCTTTCGTTTTCTATAGTCTTATAAAGAATTGAAATTAGATAAAGACAAACAAAGGAAGTACTATCAGAGGAACAAGTAACATATGGCCTATAATTAACAAAATTAAAAGCTATAAATGTTCATAATAAGGCAAATATTTTACCCCTCTGACCTTCCACCGAAAGAAAAAATACACTCGTCCTCGCTGCAACATGAACTCTAAGTTTCAGTGCACCACATGTTCCTGACTCTTTTATTTTCCACGGCCTTATAAACGATTCAAATTAAATAAAGATGAACAAGGTGAAAAAGGAAATACAGAAGCAACAAGTTGAACGTGTCCTTTGTAATATTTTACCCCTTGAATTCCCATTGACAAAAAGAAATATATTCGTCCTCGATGCCGCGTGATCTTCGTTTTGGATCACAATTTTTCTTTAACTTCTTTTGCATATTCAGATACCATTCGATAAATATAGCTGAAATACAACGAAATTGTCAGAACCTTTAGGAGCCTCAGAGTCTGGTTCTGCAATCATTATTGAGGTACATAATTTAGGTGTAGAAAAATGCAAGTAGTATCGGTCAGGTTATATATTTATCCATCCACCAGCAGGCGGTCAGTCAATTGTACTGAGAATGTTGCACGAATCAATTCATATTTTTACATGATTTTAAAGACGAAGCGTAATTTGATAAAAGAAAATACGATCATGTCAGAAAAGTAGATGGTCCTTGGGTATTGGGGATGGTCGACTCTAACACAAGCAATTATTGCATAATTGCAGTTCAGATAAGGCGTTCACTATACTACCAGTTATACAGGAACACGTTAATATCGATAGTGAAATTTATACGGACTGTTTCAAAAGTTGCACAGGACTCAACGCAGATGGCTAAATGCGTAAAAGTGTTAATCACAGTAAAGAGTTCGTAGGCAAGTATAATTTACTTTGAATTTCAGTTAGATTACGGTCAAATTTCGATTAAACTTTAGCTAAATGAAGTTCAATAAGTGTTAGCTAGCAACGGTACGCATACTCAAAAATTGGAGTCCTGCAAAAGGGTAGATGAGAGGAAGCGGACGTTTTCACGATAATAAATTTACACTTCGACTATGCGAATATTTACAGCGACAATTTTGCCGAAATAATGTTGACCTAATGGCATTTCTAATGGAATCGATGCAGGCACAATAGGTGTTTCACTAAATAACAGAATTCACCTGGTTTGTAAGCTGCACTCCAAAATCAAACTTGGACAGGCAATAACTTTTGAACCAATGTATTCTGTCATCCGAAAACATCAAATTTTGTCCATATTTATTGAATGCTATTAGATTATATAAAAAGTTAAGAAGATGTTAATTCAAAACGAAATTTAACCACATTTTCTATTAAAAATATACATTCCCATTTAGAAAGACAAATTTGAATGGATAACCTAAGATAACCTAACAAGACAGGTAATCTGTACAGGAGATAAGTGCAAGGAGACGAGGAATGTACTAGTAAGACAATTAGTATAGAAGGATAGAGAGATAGGCACAAAACAAGTGCCGTTAACTATTTTAACGTTTTTTCTTACACATACCAAGAATATGTTGTATTAGAACATAAGAGTCACTGCTAGAGTTCATGGGGTCAGGACTCTATTGAAATCTACAAGAAACTGTTGTTATTCCGCTATACTACGCTCTTTCCCGTTATTCTCTGCTATATGTATACATTTCATGTGTTGTTCTGTCATGTATCTGCAAATTTTTAAATTTCTTAATTTCTATGTATCTAAATTTGAAAATTTTTAAATTTCCTAATTTCTATATACCTAAATTTGAAAATTTTTAATTTAGAAAATTTCTAAATTTCAAATACTGAAAATTACAAAATTCAATTATTCATTTAAGTGTTATTATAATGCAATTTATTAATTATTAATCGTAAATGATCCATTTAAGTATTGGTTTGCCACACGTTTTCAATTATTACTTCGTATGCATGATATAATCTTCGTTGCTGTATCTTATTAAGTTAAACTCACTAGATTAATGTTTGATATACACTTGTTAACATTTTCTATCAAACTTTTCTCTAGAAAAATTTATTTATAATTGCAAATTTAGCTTAAACACTAAAACTATCAAACGTGTCATTTGATCCATACACGAGTTTTCCTTTTTAAATAAAAAAATCCATTAAAATACTTTTCTTGAAGTCAGTGTTGACTCTTATCAAGATAAAAAGTTAACGTTTATATTAATTCATGTTTCATCTTTTGCTTATTTATTTTTGTAGTTTATTTCTTATTTCAAGCTGTGTGTGCATTATACACCCATAGGTTCAGTGTTAATAGCTCTACCATATGAAAACGTCAGCAGCAAATTAGGCACTGACAAAGATTTTACCGAACTTGAAACCTATCGATTCACATAAAGAAATTAAAAGTTTCAGATTAACTTTTGTTACACCCTTATATTTGATAACGCAAGTAAACTGTCGTAAGAACTGATTCTTCTATTAATGTGATAAACAGTTATTCTGAGTGAGTTAAATACTCCAAAAGACTCCTAAATATGTATATTGTGTGACATAATTGAACAATCGTAAAAAGGTACTGAAAATGACTATGTGTATCTCATACATACCTCTCAAATGGTTGAGAAGATATAGCGTATTTTGTATATTCAATATCATACTCCTCTCAAAAAAGGAACAAATTTTTCTGCTGCTCAATACCATAATTCTATGATCACCATCGATCTATCAAAGGGACCGCGATTTAGAAATGTCATAAAATCGTTCAGGTGTAAAAGTACACGAAATCTGATCGCCGAAACAGCAGTTTAGGAAATATAGGGGGAGATAAAGTCCCCTATACTTATACTTGAAGATAGGGCTACACAAAGTTGAAGTCTATTTAAGAGGGAACCCTAATTTCATTCAAATTTTGCACAATTACAGAGGATACCAGAAGTAATAATTTCGCGAAAACCCAACGTGCAACTATTCAAAATAAGGGAGACATTAATCTTCAAATTTCTTGTAATTTACATATAAATGCTTGGCATTAGCATAAAATTAGAAATATATTGTAACGCAATGGACAAATGCTCAGTGCAATAAACTGGGAGTCGCAAATTCGAGACTCACAAAATTTATATAAAATTTTTTTTTCATTAGATGTTGGTTTTTAAATGTTTAAAATTAAATTTTTATTCTGAAAATTCTTTAAATTAGTTAAAAAATATTTGTCTAACTCTAATAGAAAAATTTGAATGAAAGAAATTGTATATTTAATTCTCTACAAATAAATTCTAGATAAGTATTGGTGCAATTATATACATACGTTTATTTAATAATTAACTTGTACAGCTTTCGTAACGATGTTATAATTGAATTTGTCCTCTTCTAAATGTGTTAAAGTGCAGAAAATAAATGAAAAAAATCTGTGGACAAAAATCACTGTCAAATACCATTTTTAGTATTGCATATGTACACACTTAGTATTACATATAATAGTGATGTAGTACTACTTTTAGTACTGTAATAGCACTGTAATACTGTTTTTAATATTGTAGCAGGCCTATAACATTATAACTATAGCTTTAATTCACAAGAAATATTATTCTCATTTTTGGCAGAGTTCTCTTAATTAAAATAATATGTTTTATTTGTATATCAAATAATGTATTTTAACTAATACACTTTATAATACTATAAATGTAAATATTAAATGGTGTATAATATGTTTTTACGGCTACACCACAGCATCGGGACAAACAAAGAAACCCCTTTTTTAAGAGACATCTCGTGGTGGGATGAGAACGCTACAAATTCAGACCCACTCGCATATTAGTGTTGTTTGACTGGCGCCAATATTCAAATTTAGATTGGTACATTCCAACAGTCTAAAAAATAATAATGCATTATTGTCTACTTTCCAGTAGAGATAGATTTAATTTTTACAGGATTGAATCCAAACCTACTATTAACCTTGCGCACTACAATATTATTACACACGCATAACGCACTTCACTGTTCATACATGATAAACCAGACTCATATTTCCATTCCAACTGAATTTTTGGTTCAATTTTAATTACAACCTCCATATTCAAAGATCATTGAGTACAAAACATGCTTAAGTTTTTAATTTCTTTATTTGTCTTTGCGTTGTAGCTAATAAGTAATGAGCTGTGAATAACGCAACTGTCTAGAAAATTGTAAATTAAGGAGTTAAACATTAATTTACAATTTCATTGTACCCTGGCTGAACAATAAACACATATCAGTTAATTTAGTATTAAACGTGTTAATATAAAACATCTGAGTTCGTGATGACACATGTAGTTCAATCGATATACATCGTAAATGAATTCATTAGGATGCGGCACCGATTAATGTCAAGATGTTCAAGAACGCATGTTGTTTCTGAGCGTCGCGACATCGATCGATGTTGATGTTATTCGATGATCAAATTTCGTGTTCTTTCACGCCTGAACAAATTCACGACTCGTTTGAGTCTCACCGGCTTTTTGCTTAAGTGTAGATTTACTCGAGTAAGCGCGAACATGTTAAGTAGAGACGAGCATCAGAGCAATCGTAACGTAATGCATTTTAACCCAAACAAACTAGGATATGCGCCCCAGTTACACAAGTTTTAAGTTTGCACAATCATATATTAATTAAAAAGTACCGTTACACGAATATCATTCCTAAAATCAATATCTGTTCACTTCTTTTTACGAAGGAATTTTTAAGTAAAAGAAATTAAATCTTTGTAATTTATTTAACGAAATAAAGAGATTGTTTTTTCAGTATTACTTAATACATTTCAGTATTACGGAACGTTTTTGGATGTTGCAGATTCAATTTCGGAGTCCCAATGTTTTACTGCCCCCTGATACTTTCAATGTTCCTCTAACCTAACTTTTTGAAATAAATGACAGCTTCATTCTAAATACTTTCGTTTTGTGGAAAATTATTTAATATAAATACACGATATACACCTTTATTTTTGGAAGTTCAAATGAATATGAGGTTATGGCAAATACCTGCGCTTAGGACTCTGTATTACGGTCAAGTTTAGAAATCTCGCGATACTATAGAATTTACTGAAAAATAAAAATAAAGAGATCTGTAGGTGTTGCATGTATTAGATTTTTACTGCATTAAACCATTTTATAATATAATATGTATTTTAGACATATAATGAAGAAACGTATGTTTCATGAAAACGTGGAAACTCTTCATTTAGCGATTACATCCAAAAACATTCCCAAGTTTCATCTATTTTTGGACGCCCCGGGTTGGTGTCCCTCCCTAAGGGATTAAAACGGAATTTTGTGGCGTCATTCTGGTTTGTTTCGGTTATAATGTATCATATTACTCCGGAAGATGGCCTTGAAGTTCGTCCTTGCGGTAGATTCAACCCATGGTGTACGAAACCTTACACTAGCGCCCTCATATTCCGGTAATGCTTCATCATTTTATGACGAGGAAGATCAACCACGTTCCTGTTTTCTCTATTTTTTTGTAAATTTAAGAAGACTATAAAATAATCTGAATAATGAGATCATGTATATGTATACAGCCTACATGTGTGAATATACGTGACTATGTATCAATGCATGTTAATGTGTATGCAATATATGGATATATGTATGTGTATATATGTGGATATATGTAGATATATTTGGATATATGTGGATATATGTGTATATATGTGGATATATATGGATATATGTGGATATATGTGGATATATGTGAATGTACGTGAATATATGTGCATATATGTGAGTATTTGTGAACATATGTGAATACATACGAATTCTAAATAGCACTCTGCCGCAACAAAGTTACATAAAACTTTTGTACACGAAATCGAACGCGCCACTTGAAGTTCGACATGTAACATACTGTCGATACTCGACCTCATAGACATAAATTCGCTGGCAACAAGCTTCTGACATTAACATGTTCTCCTATTTTGAGCCATTTAACAGTCAGACACGACATACTTTGCACGTCTAATTTGAATTCGAAGAAACTTTGTTATCTTAAATGCGATGCATTCGGAACGTTAGCTACAAAAAGAAAGAGTGCAGCACTGGATATTTCTCGATCCTACAAACGATCTGCTATACACAAGATAAGTTCGTAGAAACTCGTATAGATTGTATGTACATCGTCGCAATTTTCACTTGCAATTTCATTTGAAAAATTAAGTTTAATAATTTAATAATATTGAGCTTTTTGGAAAGTAATTATATTTTTTATATATGCGAGTTAAATTATTTAATCTTAGTTACTCTTTATTTGAATTTAGAAGTAACGTACTTATAAGTATATGAGAAACAATGGAAGAAATTATGCTTTTTGTTTATGTTTATTGCTAGTGTATTATAATGTAACTGTTGTATTGTTTCCAATACCAAAAAATGAAGATGCTTTTTCACTGAGATTTAAAGTACTTTTAATATCTCCAAGTAGAATAAAAATTATTTTAAGACTTAAGCGATATTTCTGAATCCTGAAACAGATTTAGTATTTATACAGTGGCCTACATTTGGAAAAATCGACTACAAATTTTCTAAATATATAAAACACACATGTCACATGTCACATGTCAACATGAAAGTATAACATAATTAAGAATCACAGAAGGATGATTAACGACTGTCTTAAGAATGCTACTTTTGCTTATATTAATATTAAGATGAAATGGGTTAACATAATTTCCGATTCGATTTATGCAACTGAAATAACTGTAATCAGCGCGATGTGAATCAGTACAAATTAAAATGTAGGTTCCTAGGCAAATTGAGGGTATATTTAAAGAACAAAGTTGGATTACCGTCGAGCAAGATATTATACATTTTTCTATATTACAAAAGAATATAACGTCGAACATTTTTTTTCTAATGTATTGTATTCGGAGATTTACATTATTCAGAATTAAATCATAGTTGCAAGAGTAAAACGACGTGGGTCGACCACTATGCTTGGCAGCAAGCCTTCATTTCTGCTGGATGCTTTCAGTATCATTAATTTGAAAGTCATAGTACGGATACTACATTTCCGTAATCTAAAATAAAATATTAAAAATGAATACTGTAAATTGTAAAAAGCGAATTATTTATTGATACAACTAATAACATTCTTCTTACTTTTCTAGATTGCCTCGGAGAGCCGTGGGAGCGATTAGGATTTTCAAGGGGAGTAAAATTCTTTTCGGCCAAAAATGGAACGAACGATGCCAAAGATGGAGATCCAAGGATGAAATAGAATGGATCACTTTTTATTTACAGCTCGACGCGTGTGTTTTTCTTATTTGTTCGAAAAATGATCGAAATCTTCGCGATTGATGTGTATATTACAGACAATCATAGTTGAATGGAGGATGATCATTGTTTCGCGTAAAAGACAAATTGCCACTCTATGATGGTCTTTTTATTTCGATTTTTAAATATATTCAATATTGAGCTTTTTGGAAAGTAATTATATTTTTTATATATGCGAGTTAAATTATTTAATCTTAGTTACTCTTTATTTGAATTTAGAAGTAACGTACTTATAAGTATATGAGAAACAATGGAAGAAATTATGCTTTTTGTTTATGTTTATTGCTAGTGTATTATAATGTAACTGTTGTATTGTTTCCAATACCAAAAAATGAAGATGCTTTTTCACTGAGATTTAAAGTACTTTTAATATCTCCAAGTAGAATAAAAATTATTTTAAGACTTAAGCGATATTTCTGAATCCTGAAACAGATTTAGTATTTATACAGTGGCCTACATTTGGAAAAATCGACTACAAATTTTCTAAATATATAAAACACACATGTCACATGTCACATGTCAACATGAAAGTATAACATAATTAAGAATCACAGAAGGATGATTAACGACTGTCTTAAGAATGCTACTTTTGCTTATATTAATATTAAGATGAAATGGGTTAACATAATTTCCGATTCGATTTATGCAACTGAAATAACTGTAATCAGCGCGATGTGAATCAGTACAAATTAAAATGTAGGTTCCTAGGCAAATTGAGGGTATATTTAAAGAACAAAGTTGGATTACCGTCGAGCAAGATATTATACATTTTTCTATATTACAAAAGAATATAACGTCGAACATTTTTTTTCTAATGTATTGTATTCGGAGATTTACATTATTCAGAATTAAATCATAGTTGCAAGAGTAAAACGACGTGGGTCGACCACTATGCTTGGCAGCAAGCCTTCATTTCTGCTGGATGCTTTCAGTATCATTAATTTGAAAGTCATAGTACGGATACTACATTTCCGTAATCTAAAATAAAATATTAAAAATGAATACTGTAAATTGTAAAAAGCGAATTATTTATTGATACAACTAATAACATTCTTCTTACTTTTCTAGATTGCCTCGGAGAGCCGTGGGAGCGATTAGGATTTTCAAGGGGAGTAAAATTCTTTTCGGCCAAAAATGGAACGAACGATGCCAAAGATGGAGATCCAAGGATGAAATAGAATGGATCACTTTTTATTTACAGCTCGACGCGTGTGTTTTTCTTATTTGTTCGAAAAATGATCGAAATCTTCGCGATTGATGTGTATATTACAGACAATCATAGTTGAATGGAGGATGATCATTGTTTCGCGTAAAAGACAAATTGCCACTCTACGATGGTTTTTTTTACTTCGATTTTTAAATATATTCACAATCAGGCTTGAGTTTCGTGAATTCTACAAAAGAGAAAAAGGAAAAAATATCTGGACTCAAAATTGCATCCTTTTCGTTTATGCACTTCGAATCTAAGGGATATCAGTATAGTTTTGTAACTGTAAATAAAATCAATTGTAATAATTTATAAGGTTCCAGCTGCTTTAGACGAAAATGAAAATACATGTATTCCTTTTGCCTTACGCATTCTACCTCGTAGTTTCGCTGAAAATCGAGGTTTGGAACTTCGCCATTTTCTTATAGAATGCGTGACACACCGGTAGAAATGCAACGAGGATCGATGTATTTTCTTTTACAAAGACTGTGCGAACGTAAGGAGATTCGTGAGAATAACTTTTACCAATGACTCTTGAAATAAATGTATTTTTATTTAAAAGGTAATTTAATAAATATAGTTTATCATATTAAATTTGGGAAAAATATTGTCCACCAGAAATTGACGGAAAGTTTTCTGCTCAATAAATTAATTTCATATACCAGCTTGAGGTTTCTGGATGTAAACCGGTTCCATACTTTTTTGTGCTTCTAAATTAGTCAGTTGATCATAAAAAACAAAAGAATTCATTAAGCAGGAATTTGTATTTAACATGATATACATCCAGAAGTCTTAAAGTATTCCTGTCATACTAAATACTGTATCGAACTAAACCATAGGAATCTCAAAACTCTTAAATCGTTATAACATTTAAATTTAAACTTACTAACTGCTTTCACTAAGGAGTATAAACTTAAATTTTAACTTTGTTTAATCTGATTTTTATTAAAAATGTCTCCTTCTTATCATTTTATTTGAACCTTTCGTTACATGACAATTTCAATTTTTAAAGAAAATTTATTTTCGAAATAATAGTAGTGAGAAAAGAACAATAAATAAATATCTGTTACTCATAAAATGTTGTACAAGAAGACGATATCGTATTGCAATAAATTAAGCACAGTACGGAATGTTTTAAATAATTTTCTTTTAATTGTAGTATACATTTTAATAAAATGTATATTTATATTATTTATAGTGTTTCATGCAACATACTTGGAAAAAAATGTAACGAAAGGTTAATATAAATGTTAGCAGTGAAAAGAGTCCTATTTTAGGAATTTTTTAAATAATTTGCAACCTATAAATGCTTAATCTAATTTTTACTAATTAATGGGTGCTTCTTTATTAATATATATTTATTAAATTTGAAGAAGTTTCACAAATAATATAGTTCCCGGAAAGATTAAGGAAACAACGATTAAGGAAAAATTGTGAATGGTAAATCATTTCATTGGAATTGTCGAATTTCATATTTGGAAATTCAAGGATTAAGAAATCAGAATTTAAGCTTTTAAAAAACTTGAAAGTGAATTTTCTAAAAATTTACAAATTGTTGAACTAAATTTAAACACAACTTTTATATGAGTCGTTTATTTACCAGAGTGATTAATTCCTGGTGAGCCTGGTTAATCCGTAACGGATCACATTTTCTCAACACTTGCATTTTTTGAGGATTTTTATGAACGGACAATTAGGGCACATGTACTAATTACGGAACCTTTGTATTAAAATTATCGATTGAAATGGATACATATATAAGGAAGAATAAACAAATTTTTTCAAATTAAATATAATTATCAACGAATTGGATTTAGAATAAAGAAGTGTAACGGTAATATGTTACAATGTTGTAAATATTTATCAAAGAATACACATTATGCTTTCGACAATTTTAGTAGAAATTATCCAAAAGAAATGCTTATTGAACTGTTTCGTATTAATCAATTATAAACGGTATTTTTGCCGTATAAAATACATATTCCATCATAGAATGTTCTAATGTAGTAAAAAAGAATACATGCAACACCTACAAACCTTTTTATTTTTATTTGTCAATAAATTTTATAATACCGCGAGATTTTCAAGCTTGTCCATAATACGGAGGCTCCGAGCGCTAGTACTTGCCATAACCTCATGTTCATAAAATCCTGCAGAAGGAAAGTGTGCGTCGTGTGTCATCCCCCAAATAATTAGGTATTTTATTTTTATTATAAATTATTTTATTATAAAACGACAGTATTTAGAACAAAGTTGTTATATTTTACAAAAGTTGGAGGGCGACATTGAAAGTAACAGGGGGCAACGAAACGTAAGGACTCCGAAATTGAAACATCGGAATACATCTGCAACATTTACAAGGGCTCCGTAATGCAAACAAAAATATCTGTCTTTATTTCGTTAATTAAAAATCGTTTACTTAAAAATTCCTTCGCTACAAGAAATAAATAAATATTGATTTTAAAAATGACATTCGTGTACCAGTACTTTTTAATTTATATATCATCATACAAACTTGAAGTATCCGTAATTAGAACGCATAACCAATTCTGTTCCTACAAGGTTCGTTAAAAAAAAACTTGTGCAAAAGAAAGGAATAGTTAGGTATAATTTTCATAAATTTTGGTTGATTACAACACATAAAGTAGGTATTATGCTTGTATCAAGCTTATCATCAGAGAAGCGATAATCCGAAGAATATGTATTATTGAAATTCTCCAAAACATTAGGTATGGAATCAAATTTTGAAAAATATGTATAATATGGTCTAACCAATGTATGATTTAAATCATATACATTATGATCCAAGTATGACTATCAGAGACGAAATTATAATCATCTGAAGTCCAAAACAGACCAAGCATTTGTACAGAAAATTTCTACTAACCTACTTAATCCCTTTTTATAATTTTATGCTATTGAACCCGAAGCAATGATGTGTTATAAAATGATTTAGTTGCACGTCTACAGAATTTATGTTACAAAAGACGTATAAATACGAATTTCTACTCAGTCAAAATCCTGAAAAAGATCAAACAAGAGTATCCTTGCACCAACAAATATTTAAACAAACTCTGCATACACTAATTTCACATGACAATTTCAATGAATGACGTCACTCAGAATTTCAACAAATCCTACCGTTATCGCAATTTCGGCAAACGGTGCAGTTTTCGTGCGTATAATTGACAGGTTCGGAGAAGAGGATCAGGACGATGGTGGGTACGGGTCACCATATTCGGAAGTGCGAGGCAAGAGTAGCAACCGGTCCATTGGTCCTGTCCGAGAGTCACGAAACAACGGGTTTGAAAAGGAGCCGGAGGTGAACGCGTTCCTTCTTTGTAATCTGATCGAGAACATTGGCATTTAGCACCCTTTACATCCTTTCACTGTCCACGCCGTTGGTCCAGCCACTGTGCCGTGTCAATTGCGTTCTAGTATCTATTATTTTTCTACTGATATCCTGTTATGATAATTGCATTCGTATTCTTTGTTTCTTGCATTTTTCTGAATGCTGGAAAAATTCAAGGTTAAATATATATTGGGCTTGGTATATTAGCGATTTAATATGGTGGCTGTGATGGAAATGGACATGGGTAGCAAGGGATATTGAAACTAATTATTATTAGCACTGCCATGGTGAAAACCATGCGTAGCAACAGGGCTGGCGCAAAATGCGCAAAATGTGCGGAGTACATATGAGACTTTCGGGTAGAGAGAAATGTATGGAAGATATTTTAGTACTTTGTATTTTAATAATTTTTAATTTTTTAGTTTACTGGTTCACATACTTCAAACGCCCAAATTTATAGATTACCAAGCTACACCATTTTTATATTTGAAATTTTCAAGGTTTCACTTTTAATATTTTAAATTTTCAAATTTTAGAGTATTCAAGTTTTTAGGTTAGCGAA